TAAAAAATTTACTACCAATTAAGCATTACTTTCTTATGAAAATATATTTATGATTGGGTTATATATAATTAAGGCCTAATTTAGAATTGTGTTTACGTTAAAAGCTGATTTGATCCAATCTTAATATTAAACAATAAAAGAATAAATTTTCGGTTTAAAATTTTGATTTTTGCAAGCAAAACAGAAAACTACTTAAAAAGTGCTTGTATAGTGAAAAAGTGTTTTTGTGATAAAAAAAAAAAAACCATATTACCTTATTTTTTAATATTTTAATTTTTATATACTTTTTTTATATATTTTAATTACTCACAGTATTTTTCAACCCAAATCCAAAACCTTAAAATTTTTAACCAAAATTTTCTTATCACACTTTTTAAATGCATTTTTTCAATTTAAATTCGATTTAAAGTTTTTTAACCACAATAACAATATTAAACTAACTCTAAGTAATTGGCTAAAATAAAATAAAAAATCTTTGAACTAAATTTAAATAATTATTCAAATTTCTATCATTTTATTATAATTAATTGAATTCTCAAAATTTATTTTCAGTAAAAATTTTTAAATTTTTATTTTTATTCAATTAAGTTCTTGATTTGATGGAAATTGATGAGTTAAACAATGTTCATCCAAAAAGAATTCAATTGAATAAAAATATATATTTAAAAATTTAATTAATTACAATAATATAATAGAAACTTGAATAACTATTTAATTTTTCATTTTTAAGTTTTTTTTTTTTTATATTTTAGCCTAAGTAATTTTATTTGAGTTGTTTCTCGTTTCCCTTTTTTTCCTTTGAAATTGCATGTAACCTCCCTCTTCCGTGTGAAAGTTAGCAAAAAATGAAAATCTCTTTTCCAAAGAGTTGATGATGCCACAAAAATTCAACTTTCAATAAATAAATAAACAAGCAATTTTGTTTTTAAAATTTATTTATTATTTATTTTATTACAAAACACAAGTAGTTAATACTCAATTCTTAGAAAAATATACTAGTTGCACATTTCAACTTTGATTTGTCACATCAATCAATTTTTAGTATGCAATGAGAATCCAAAAAGACATTTGCAATTAATATTTTGGACGCAAAGAAATTTAAATGTTTGACTAGTCTTATATCAATCGAATCAAACTAATAAAAGGTTTACGGCTACATGATTATCAAATTTTACAAATACAGTATGTTTTGTTTTGCAAACAAAACTTTAGATAATATGACTTTTGATAGATCGTGGGGTTCGCATAATTTTATAACTTATAAATAGATAATACTAATAATAATAAATTAAGCTTTATTTCTTATAATTAGGAGGTTAATTGTATAAAAAATAAAAATATATATATTAGGTCGTAATTTTGAATTTATTATTAAGTTATTTTTATAAAAAATAAATTTTTTATCTACCTTTTTAATCCTCATATCATTTCTTATTACTTGCATTAATATTAGGGTTGGTAATCAAATCCGTACCCATTAAGTTTCCACTTGACCTAACTTTATAGAGTTTTTATTTTTTTTTTTTAAATCAAGTTTTGAGTCAAGCCAGGTATTTTTAAAAATAGTGGGATCGGGTTTTAAGCAAACCTGCTCTAACCTGACTTGATCCGATATATAAAATTTTTTATTATTTATTTAATTTTATACATATATATATTTTATATTTATATTTTAAAAAATAATATTTTATATTAAAAATTAATATTTTATTAATTTCAGGTCAGGTCGAGTTGATTGCAGGTTTAAACATATGCAAGTCGGGTTAGTTCGAGTATTAAGCTTATAAAGTTAGGTTAGGTTTGGGGTGAGCAAATATCTGTCTCGACTTAACTCGTTGCTTTCTCTAACCCATATCTTTTGTGGTTTACCTTTAAAAGTTTTGATCTCTCCTAAGTAAAAAAGTTCATTTCTCTTAATTAATGCATAGATAAGCCTATGTTTCACATGTGCAAATCATCTCAAATGACACTTTCTCATTTTTTTTTTTTTAAATTTGGACTACTATTAATTTTTCTCGAATCGCTTCATTTATAATTTTGTCTCTTTTAATCTTATTACACATCCATCTAAATATCCTCTTCTCAGTTATACTCAGTTTTTTCTCATATTGTTTCTAAACAGCTCAACACTTAATCCTATATAATGATGCAGGATTTAAATTTATTTTATACAACTTCGTTTCCAACTTTAAAAATATATTGCAATCACACAATGCACTAAACACAATTTGTCACCTCATCCACCCTGATTGAATCTTATTATTTACATCCCCTTTTATTTTAGCATTATTCTGAATAATTAATCTCAAATATAAAAAATAATTACTGTTTAGTACTACCTCACAATCTAAATTAATCACATTAGTAATCATTTTTTTATATTACTAAACTTACGTTCTATATATTCAGTTTTAAATATATTCAAATTAAAATCTTAAGACTCAGCATATGTTTCTATAATTCCAATTTCACATTAAGATCATCACTTCTTTTAGCCACTAAGAATATATCATCAACAAATAATAGGGATGACAATAAATAGTAAATAAATAGATATTTGTCATTATTCGATCCATTTATGTCAAATTTGAATAATTATAAATGAATAATTAACGAATTCGAATAAAAGATTTACTATACGTGACAAATTCGAAGCGAGTATGAATAGTATTTTTTGGATATCCAATATTCGAATCCATTTAAATTTTAATGAATTGTAATGGATATCTGAATCAGTTATTCATTAATATATGTAAATTTTATAAAATTTTATTCTTGTAGAAGATTCCGAGCCCTAAAAAATAATTTTTAATTATTATTAATTAAGAGTGAACTTGAATTTTAAATTAAATTATTATTTATTTTATATTTTAACAAAAAATTTAAATAAACGAATATTTTAATAGATTTGGATATTGAAACAGATAGTGTTTATTTAAATGGATTCGAATTTGGATAATAATATTAAACTTAAACAAATATTTAAATGAATTAAGATATTATAAATATTAAACATATTCAGATATAGATATCTTAAAATTATCGGATATCCGCTTCATTGTTATTCCTAACAAATAACATATATTATGGCACTTTATATTGAATATATCCAATGAACTTGTTTATAACTAATATAAAATATCTAATTATTAAATGGAGACACGATAAAATTATTAGATATAATGAAATTACTTTAATTGTATCAAATCATGATATTCAAATAGGTGTTATGTGGTTTCTTTTATATTAATCGCATCTAATAATGAGATTCATATTATTTATAATTTTTTATTGTAATATTATAATTAACTAATTATAATTAAAAATTATATAAAGATTTATTATTTAAAAGTGCAAACTTTGCCTAATATTTTTATAAACTCCGCATAATTTTAAATCATAATTGATTAATTATATTATAATAATTATAAGAAATATATTATCATTGGGGGTAACATTACATTTAAATGAAGCCTTGCTATTTGTTATTGGATATAAACACATATTTTGAAAATTAAGAATTAAATAATTATGTTAAATAAATAAATTAATTAAATTGTCAAATCAGACATGTGAGTGCCAGGCATACAATTATTGTTAGTTTCCAACAGTGCATGTGCATGATGTTCATGCACCTATGTTGCCACCACCATCTTTATTTTTCATATAAAAAGCAAATAAAATTTTAATTATGACCGTAATTTTTAAAAATAAATACTACATAATTCTACAAACCAAGAAATAACAAAAAATAATTAAATTTCGTCATGTAGAAGCACAAATTTCCAAAATGAAGTAAAAAACAAAAATTAATTACGGGGTGACCACATCTAATTTTCTAATAATAATGATAGTCCTTTTCTGTACGGCACTTTCCAAAACAAATTGGCCAAAATCCCAAAGGAACAAATATTGAACCACATACATATTAAATGAATATAAATACAAATATAAATCAACAAAATACTCATTTATGTTCTCAATTGATTATTACAAAATCTTCACAACTTGTTTTTATTTTATTTTTAACTTTCTCTTATTAAATAAAACAAATTAAAGAAATCCATTTCATATAAAATTTTAATTCTCTGTTTTTCTTTCTCGTATATTAAAAATATTTTTTCTTCCTCCTTTATCATTAATTAAAAAAATTAAAGTGTATTCAAATAATTTTTAAACAATTATAAATTATAGTACTAGGCAGTTATCATTTTCAAGGAAAAAGAAATGGTAGTCTTATTGGTAAATTTCTTAGAAGTGGGGCCATTAACCAAATCTAAGTGATTTATGATTCCCGGGTAATGGGCTTCTAAATGTTTCACCCAATTTTTTTTTTTTACACTATATCAATATTTTTTTAAAAAATACATGCATAATAAATATCAAATTTATCTTTTAATAAATTATAATTTTACTTTCTTTTTTCTCTTTTTTTCTTTTTCTTTTTTTCTCTTTCATCTTTTTTTCCTCTTATACTCAATTGAATTTGATTTTTTTTATTTTTATAAATCTATTTTTTAGAATACAAAATAAATTTTGAAAATTCATTTTTAAAAATTAAGATGTATTATAAAATATGAGATTTTTCAAAAATAAAATTTTAAGAATCTTAAAAATAAAATTTTGAAGCCTTAAAAGTTTCTCAAAAACGAAAATGAATTTTTGAAAACTTTAAAGGCATCTCTAAAATTGATTTTCAATAATTTTTAAAATTTTTTGAAAATATATTTCAAAGAATTGTAAAGGTTTTTTTTGAAAATTTATTTTAAAAAAAAATTAAATTCTATGAAATTTATTTCGTAAATCTTAACATATTTTCGTATGCATTTAAATAAAATAAAATAAAATAAATCTTAAAATCTTACTTTTAATTAATGGAAGACTTTATAAAAAATGTAATTTTGAAGTTAATTCGATGGATTTATGATTTATTAGAGAGAGAAGAAAAGAGAAGAAAGAAAAATGTTGAAGGTACGAAAAAAAATCAATTATTGAAGAATGGAATGTATTTGATAAAAAAAAAATTTTAATTTAAATTTAAAATGTATTTAATAGTGAAATGTAAAGAGCAAAATCCCTTGGGTTTTCTGCACACCCCGGGCCATAATAAAATCCAGATTTCAGAGTTTTCATTGACAACCTTTTACATTCTCAAGCAAATTTTCCATTTAGAAAAAATGAAGGAAAAAGAAAATCCAAATCACAAATTCTAGTTGCCTTTTTCAGCACTCAATCTCAAAGAAGCAATTGTTTTCACAATCCTTCCTTCCATTCTATTGTTTCACCCTTTAGGGTTGGATTAGATTATCAAAATCTTTCGAATTTATTTTCGAAGAATTGACACCATTGCTTTTATGATTTCACCTTTTCCAGTCCACAGCTTGATCAGGATTTTGATTCCTATCCAAATTTCTTCACTTTTCTTCACCAGAGCATCTTTCTTGTTGCTATTAATCTTGTTCCAGGCCTTTCCCTTGCCTTCCAGTTCTTCACAATTCACCTCTAAAACATCAAATCTTTGTCACAAAAACCAAAAACCCAAATCGCAAATACCCTCAGAGAACATCATGAGAATTCACCCATTGCCCAGGAAAAGAAACATCACTATCCAATATGAGATGAACCCAAGAACCACAAGGTCCCAAGCTGAGACCTTGTTAACTGGCGGGTCCCATAAGAAGCTTCGGCGGCTGCCTCACATCTTTAGCCGCGTCCTGGAACTGCCTTTCAGATCGGATGCCGACGTGGCGGTGGAGGAAAGCCCTGACTGTTTCAAGTTCGTTGCTGAAACGGATGGGAGAATCGGCGACGTTGTCAGGGCTCATATGGTGGAAATCCATCCTGGGGTTACTAAGATTGTGATAAGGTCGAATAGTTTGGTGGATTTTAGTTCGTTGGATGATTTGGAGCTTGACATGTGGCGGTTTAGGCTGCCGGAGACGACGCGACCAGAGCTGGCTAGTGCGGTTTACGAGGATGGGGAGCTAATTGTGACGGTGCCGAAGAGAGGGGAAGTGCAGAATTTGGAGGAAGGAGTTGGTGGAGGTGAAGGGAATGGGGAGTTTAGAGGAGGTATGGGAAATGGTAATAATAATAATAATAGGCTTGTTCTTGTACAGTAAAAACGATAGTATATTTGCTTTGTTTTTTTAATTGCATGATATTTTCATTTTAGTTATTGTATGGTTACCTTTTATTATTCAATCAAATCAAGAATTGTTCTTCTCTTGCATGATGGGCATGATGAAAGTTTTGGTTTGATATTGTTTCCTTGGCATGATTTTGATGAATTTTATTGGGGAAGTTAGATGATTCCTTTGGCATGATCTTGATGATTTTTTTTTTTTTTTGGAGGATTTAGCTGGGTTAGTAACTTTCAGCAAAATAGTTGTTTTATATGCTTGTTTGTACATATTAAGGCTGCTTATGGTGCATTTTGTTTCTTGAGGCCAAGAAAAGGTTTAGGATTTTGGTATGTTCATAGGAATGTTGCTTAGAATAAGTTATTATTTGAAAGATGCTCATAAACATTTTTGTGGATTTTTTTTTGTTTACTATGTTGTTTTTCCATAGAAACGGGAATCGACATAAATCGATCTAAATGTGTGCTTGATTGAAGTTGGTTCTTTTCATTTCTCATCCCATGATTAGGCAAATGGTGAGCAATGAAAGGCCTAGCAGAGTGGCCCCAATATCAGTGTTTTTGTTTTGTATCCTGTTTTCATCATATGAAATCTGTCTATTGATTTGTCAAGAACTAATAATTTATTTTTAGAATAAAGATGAAAATTATTTGCTAATTTTACTTTCTTGTTATTTTAACATTTCCTGGTAAATAATCAAAGAACAAATATGTTACATGTTTGTCAACATTACAAGGTAGTGATTGCCTAAATGATTACTTTCCAGTCTTTGTCCTAGAGATTCATGGTATTTTACGTGTCTGCATTTTCTTGTTTCAGCTGAAATTCAGCCATAAACATTGTAAAGCAAAATCATATTTTGTGTGCTGATATTGAGAATTGGTTCCTTCTTACTTTGTGGTTAAGAATATATGCTTCTGGTCCACTTGGTTTAGGTAAAAAGGCCATCGAATCTTGTACCAAAGGGTTTCATTTTTTGCCTTGTGATTTTGGTGATTTAAATATGCCTTCTAGCATATCAAGCTCTTGCAAAGTAATGATAATCTTTATTATCTTGCGTCTTTTTTATTCATTCATTCTCTTGATATTATGATGAATCTTTTTGTTGACATCCTTTTTTCTTGAAAGAAAAATTAAACTCCATCTCTCTCTTATCCTGTTAGACCTGCTGATTCATAATGTCAACTTTCTCTGTCTTTTTGGCTATCCAAATAGACAATTGGACATCTTTATCACTTTGTGTGGAAGATTTGCTTGTCATATCTTGTTCATCTCGTTTCATACCGGAAATGATGTTTAAACTCTGTTTCTCCTGCAGTGTTCCATTTCTATGTATGATTGTCACTGGTTGCTGAACCTGTCATCTTAATTTACTGCAACACTTTCCAAAAACTTTTCTCTATCATACACGACCTATTCCCAAATTGACATGAACCATCTTTCTAGCCTCCCACAAAGGGTCAGTTTCAACTATTCAGAATATCTTTTAGCTGTGGTCATGCCTGTTGGCTTACTATTCAGGCATCCATCTCTTAGGACGGAAGCTTTAGGTCCAAGGTTCAATTTCCACATGTTCACAAGCCCTTGAGGTTGGGTGGGGGGTGGGGAGGAGCTGAGAATGAGATTTGATGACGAGATTTGATAAATTAAAATATGATATGATGATATGATAATATAATACGAAAAAAGATAAAAATAATACGATTTAAAATTTTAAAAAAATGAATTTAACAAAAATTAAAAAATTATATTTTTGTATTTTTGATTTGTGATATAATTTTCATGTAAAATATAAAATGAATATACAAATTGTTAATGTTTTATTCAATGTGAATATACAAATTGTTAAGATAATGGTATGCTTATCAACAGCAAATGCTGTTCCGAAAAATTGGACCTCCTTTTTTTTTTTTGTTGGAGGGATTTATTTCCAATCATTTTTCTTGGTGGGGATGCTTTTGGGGGTTGCAGTTGTGGTGTGACTAAAGGTAGATAGATTCCTTCACAATTATTTTGAGAATGTTGATCATCCTTGACGCCCGCCAATCATGGCTGAATCGAGAAGGAAGAAGGTCCCATTCCAGCCTCTGATACTACCCCTAATTGCTGCACTTCTTAATATCAAAATAATGAATTAGTTGTCAAAGCCCATGTGAAAATTTTCACCACAAATCAAGTTCTAGCTGGTTTCATCATAACCCAGAGTGGCATTTACTTCTTTGTCAATGATTAACAGCAAAAAATGTGACTATTAAAAGAAAAAAAAGGTGTATGTTTTAAAAGAAAATAAAATAAAAAGAATATATGAAAAAATAAAAATCAAATTCCCTACGCAACGTTGTTGACTGGCAAGCAATGGGACAAAGACACCCGGTAGTTTTGCATATGACTAATAACAATGGTTTCCTAGGGAAAAATAACAAAGAATACAGTGTCTAATCAAGGCCAAATCTTGAAGATGAGATTGTAATTTACTCTTGTTAAATGGTAATATATGTTATTTTTTTCTATGAGTAAATTACTTTTTTAGTCTTCAAAGTTAGGAACACATCATTTTAGTCTTTACAATTTAAAAAATAACTTATTTATGTTTGTATTTTCAATATTGTAACAGAGATGGTTGTTTTGTCAATATTTTTGTTAAGTTTCAAGTGAAAACACATGTTTGCCACAGGAAAAAAACATGTCACCACCTGACGTTCATGTGGAATTTTTATTCTTTAATGTTAATAGTCATAATCCAAACAGATTATCAACAAATAATTGATTCAAGTGATAAATAAAATGTTTTCTTCACTTGTTATTTAAATTTAAAATGCTAAAAGACTATAAAATGATAATTTTTTAGAAATCCATTAGACTCGACCTAAATAACCTTACTTGAATGGATTTAGGATAGAAAAGTATTGGACAAAACTAAAAAATCCTTAACTGCTTAATAAAAAAATTTCCTAAGAGAGTTAGTGGCTATAGGAGATGACTATTTAAGGAAGGACTTGTTTGTTATACGTGTGTGATGCACATGTAATTTTTATTTTAAAAAATTTAATTAAATAAATAATTTTTTTGAATATTATGATAATAATGATAAATACTATTAATTTAATTTTGAATTTGATATAATATAAATAAAATTTGATAAGTTTTGATAGAATTTTATTCAAAATTTGAATTTTCTTATTAATTTTTTATTGAATAAGTTCATGATAAATTTATTTTAGCCTTTCTAGATGAAAGTCTTGACTTCATTTTTGCTAGTAACCAAGGTTCAAGCCCTAAAAACTTCAAATATATATAAAAAAATCAATTACTAACAATTAAGTTATCATTGATTTACTACTATGATATCAATAATTTACTATTAAGCTATTAATGATTTACTACTAAATTATAAATGATTTATTATAAATTGTTGATGATTTGAATGATTTACTACTAAATCGTTGAAGATTTACTACTAAGTTACTAATTTTTTCATAAAGTTATAATTGATTTACTATTAATTTATCAATGATTTATTATAAAGTTATCAATAATTAACTATTAAATTATCACTAATTAACTATTAAGTTATCAATGATTTATTATTAAGTTATATTGATTTACTATTAAGTTATATTGATTTACTTTTAAATGTCCAATGATTAACTACTAGTTATTATTATTTACTGCTAAGTTTATCAATTAATTACTATTAAACTCAAATAGATTTACTATTAAGTTATCACTAATTTATTATTAAATTATCATTGATTTATTATTAAGTTATTGCTTATTTTTTTATTAAGCTATCATTGATTTAATAATATGTTATTATACATTTATAAAAATGAAATATGGAGTTTAAAAAGTTCACTATATGAGATAATTTTCCTTTTATATAATAACATTATTATTTTAGAATTTAATTACTAAATGTTTTTATTGAATATATTTATGGTACACTTATCCTAGTCTTGCAAGATGAAAATTTTGTCTTTATTTTTGCTAGTAATCGAGGTTCAAACCTAATAATTTCTAACTATAAAAAAATTATCAATGATTGACAATTAAATTATCATTAATTTACTACTATGTTATTAGTGATTTATTGTCAAGTTATCAATGATTTACTATTAAATTATTAATGAATTAGTATAAATTTATGAATTATTTACCATTAGGTTATGAATTATTTACTATTAAGTTACGAATGATTTAGTATTAAGTTATGAATGATTTACTATTAAATTATTGATGATTTACTACTAAGTTATTGATGATTTATTATAAAGTTATGATCAATTTATTACTAATTTATCAATGATTTACTAAAAAATTATCAATAATTAATAAATTTATTACTAAATTATCATTAATTTGTAGCCAAATTATTAGTAATTTACTATATGTTATTAGTAATTTACTACTAAATTATAATAATTTACTATTGAATTATTAATGATTTACTATTATATTATTATATATATTTATTACTATGTTATTATTGATTTACTACTTAAGTTTTGATTATTTACTACAAAATTATTATCGATTTACTATTAAATTATCCATTATTCACTATTAAATTATCGTTGATTTATATTAAATTATTTATGTTTTACTATTAAATTATTGATTATTTATTATTAAGTTACACTATTTACTTTTAAATTTTCAATGATTAACTATTAAAATATCAATTATTTACTATTAAGTTATGTTGATTTACCACAAAGTTATTTATGATTTCTTAGCATCAATTAATTATTATTAAATTGAAACTAATTTACTATTAAATTACCATTGATTTATTACTAAGTTATAAATAATTAACTACTAAATTATCATTTGTTATTTTTTAATAAGTTATCTTTAATTTACTACTATGAGTTATGTATTTACTATTATGTTATAATTGATCATTTATTACTAAGTTATTATATACTATTATGTTACTATTGATTTATTACTAAATTATCAATTATCGACTATTGAAATATCATTAATTTATTATTAAGTAATCACTAATTTGGTATTAACTTATCTATGATTTACTATTAAATTATCACTAATTAACTATTAAATTATTGATGATTACTACTA